TGATAACCACAAGGAAAGAAGAAAACACGAAGTTCCCAAGCGCTTTCGTGTAATTCACATCTTCAGGGGTGAGTACAGACTAGAGAGAGTACGATACGATACGAAGTCTTTAGTTAAGAGGTGAAAGAAGATTATTAGGAGTTGAAGGAAAAGTGGTGAAACTGAAATACAGTAGGAGTAGAAAGAATCTGGGCTCAACCAGATCGCTTCATCTTTCTTATTGGTATTTTGTCTTTGTTCTGCTCCCTTGGGTCGTCAGACCTTTGTATTAATATTGGTTTATTTATATAATGCTGCTTATTATTATTATTTGTTATTGTTGGAGTTAGTGAGCCCGCCCAGGTCCTTGTGTAACTGGGAGGGTAGTCACTTTTTTTTGAGGTGTTAGTTAAGTGTTAGTTGTGTTAGTCTAAAGGTACACTGTATGGAGAGGCCTGCCAGGTTCTTAGTGGAGCTGGTTGGTCACTCTCATCTTTATTCCTCTAGTAATGTTTTATGTAGAAATGTGTATGTTGAGGCAGGAGGTGGTTCAATTACTTCTTCCTGGCTGATATAGCTGGGAGGGTAATCACATTATTATTATTAATATTATTATTATTATTTTTTTTTTTTTTGAGTTAGTGAGCCCGCCCAGGTCCTTGTGTAGCTGGGAGGGTAGTCACATTTTTTTTTTTTTTTTTTTTTTTTTTACTAAGATGTTAGTTCAATGTTAAATGTTAAATGTTAAATGTTAAATATTAGTTATGTTAGTCTAAAGGTACATTGTATGGAGAGGCCTACCAGGTTCTTGTGGAGCTGGTAGGTCACTCTCATCTTTTATTCTCTCTATTAATGTTTTATATGTATATTGGGGCAGGAGATGGTTCAATTACTTTCTTCCTGGCTGATTTAAACCAACTGTGTTCTTGGAATCCTTCGTTGTCTATATTATTTATCCAGTTTTGATATGTTTCTGTGTTAAGTTCAGTCACTTTTTTCCAAATATTTACAGCTTTGTTGTGTATATCTACATTGATTGCTAAGAGGTTTGCTCTCTTGTGTAGCTGTTCATTATTGATGTGGTCTGTATATTTTATGTTATATATAAATTTGAGGGCTATATTTTGTACTGTTTGTAACCTTTTAATGCACGTTTTACTAAGGGTACCCTAATGGGATGGGTGGGTAGTCCATAATTGATTTGACAAGGGCAATATAACCTTTTCTTTTTTGTTATTAATGCTAAGGTTCTTAAAGCGTTTTATTTTTGATAATCTTATTCTGCCTGTCGTTCTTTATCTTTTAAGCATGTTATATATCCTCTTTTTGTTAGTTTTAATCCAAGCATCCTACCAGTGTCGTATGGGTATAGTCTCTGGTCGACTATTACTAATTTGTTTTAATCTTTGGCTATTGCTGGTGTATTATCTTGAATTTGTTCTTATTTGTCCTGATTTTCCATTTTCTCAAAATCATTTATGTTTTTATCGCTCTTACCGTAGAGTGCCATAAATTGAGTTGATTTTTCCCTGGGTATGATACTGCCTGAGTATTATCATCAGCAAACATTACATATTCAAGCAAAGGGGTAGGTTGAGGTGTCTGAAGTATAAATTGTATATAGTGTTGGAGAAAGGCATCCTCCTTGAGGTACTCCACTCTCAAGATTAAACATAGTTCCCATAAAGTTTCCAATTTGAATTTGTGCTCTCCTATCATCTAAATAGTTACACAATATTCTTAGCAAGTATTCGTTAAGTCCCAGTTTTAACATTTTATATTTTAAGCCTAAATGCCAAACTTTATCAAAAGCCTTAGAAACGTCAATTAAAATTAGATTGATCTGGTTACCCTTGCTTTTTTCTATTGCAATTATTTCCGTTATTGTAGCTATTGCAGTTAGGGTATTTCTATTGGGCATAAATCCATGTTGTCTATTGTTAGTTTTCCCCTGTTGTGTTTAAAAGGTTATAAGTCTTGAATTTAAAATTTTTTCCAATAGTTTCCCGGTAATTTCTAATAAAGATATTGGCCTGTAGTTTAATATTTCCTTATTGTCCTTACCCTCCTTGGGAATAAATTATTTGCAATATTTTAGTTTGTCTGGGAAAGTAACCAGTTATACATGTGTTATAAAATGCTTAATAGTGTATTTAAAATGTTTTCAGGTAGATTCCATGAATTATGGAGCTGTGCACACCCAGAGCCTGTTTTTCCTCTTAAATTTCCCAGACAGTGCATCATTTCTCTCCCATGGTTATTATTTCTGATTATTAGGTAATAAGTTAGGTCTATATATTGTGTCTTGGGGTGATTCTATGTATTTGTCTTCCCATTTCTTCTTCTATCCTTCTTCGTGTTCACTATCAAAATCTTCATTTTCCTCATCTGATATTTTAAAAACTTTTACCCATTCCCTTTTGAATGCTGACTCTTGTTCATTTTCCTCGTACAGTTTTGTTCCATTTTGGTCTTTAATGTATGGTGTTTTTTGCTTGTTGTGCCCCATCATCTTGTTTATGGAAGTCCAAAATGTTTTTGTGTCTTTAGTCATGTCAGCCGCCATTATAATATCATTCCATTTTTTATTGTTTGCTTCCTTACATGCGTCTCTTAATTTTATCTGTAGTGCTATCTGTGTCGTATATAGCCATCTGTTACTGCCGTGTCTTTCCATATACCTGTTTATTTCATTGTAATAGGTCTGGATTAATTTAACTTCTTCTGGTAGTCTGTTGTTGGGTAATGTTCTAAAGTGTGAAGTAGGAGTGTGTTTGGTTATAGATGTTTTTATTGCTGAGTGCAGTCTGTCCATTTCTGAGTCTATATCTTCTGTTGTTTTCCCTTGTAGGTTAATCGAGTGGTGATTACTTAAGTCGTCTTTGAAGCTGTCCCAGTCTGTTTTACTCATTTTCAGTCTCTTTTTTATTGGTATCTGTATGGGGCTTGTTGACAGTGTTAGTATAATTGGCAGATGGTCACTGCCTGTAAGAGGTCCCTGTATTATATGGTAATTGAAAAAGGCTTTGTTGTTGGTAAAAATTTTGTCTGGTGTCGATTGTGTATTGTGATTTTCCAGGTTGGAAAGTTAGGTCCCAGATGATTGATTTTCCCTAAATTTATTAATTGATTAAGGGCGTTTCCCACGACGTTATTATTTGTATTGTCAAAAATCCTATGTCTGGCGTTAAAGTCTCCTAAGATGTACATCGGATGACTATTGTTAGCCAATTTTAATAGGTCTTCTATAGGTAAGTAGGGTCGTCTCGGTGGGAGATAAGTAGTAGCAATAATTACGTCTCCTTGAGTTGTATTTATTTTATTGCTAGAAATTCATCCTGGAAGTCATCAATTAGTTTAAATTTTAAGTTTCTTTTAACCGCTATAGCTACTCCGTCATTTTTCTCGCCCGATTTATTTCTTTGGTTTACATAATAGTTAAAGAGTTTTATGTTGTTGTTTTCTGTCTCACCGTGACTGTTTATTAGTATAATGTCAGGGTCAATTTCGCGATATATATTACTTAGGTTAATTCTCTCGGTCTTCCAGTTTCTTACGTTGTGTTGTATTATTCTTAAAGTTCTTACTGTTTGTCTATTGTCCATTATTTCTTATACTTGGATTGTGGCAGTTGGAGTGGAGACCTATCATCCTGTTTCCCGCTTCTGATTCTTCTATACTCTGACGGGTCTACTATTTTAAAGTCTTTGGCCGTAATCTTTAGTTTGTCCGTAGTAATTAGTGACCAGACATAATCTTCACTTAGGGATTTTTCTTGATATGTCCACTTGTATATCCCTCCTTCACAGTTTTTTACTATTGTCCCTCCTGTTGGTCTCGATGTTGGGATTCCATGTTTTGTTGTAGTGATAACTTTTAATCCAATTTCTTCAGCAGATTCAGGTTGTATATTGTGATCAGTTTCCATCTTATCTTCTCTCCTCCTACTCCTTTGTCTTATAGTCTGTCCTTTTGTTATTTCTATCTTCTCTTTGTCACTTCTAGTCATTTGTCTGGGATCTCTATCAGTCGCTTGTGTTCCTTGTGTATCAGCTGTTGCTCCTTGCTCAAACCTTTGTTCGTCTAGATGTAGTCTTTCTCTCAGTTCGCTTGCATATGTTGCCTGAAATAGTTTTTCGGATTGTGGATTCTCTGGAAATATCATCTCTGGTAGGTTATTCAATTTAAACATTTTCCTTAATTCCTCATTGTATGATCCGGGTGCAATGATATTGTGCAAATGTGCATGGATCATACTAATCATTACCTTATCATGTATTGGCTCACTTAGGTTTAATATGGTGGATTCTGGTCTATGAGCCTCTTGGACCGCTCTCTTTGCTATTTCGACGTATGTCGTATCCTTCTTGTCTTGTTCCTTTTTCCTTGTTTCTTGTTCCTTGTACTTTATCATGTGTTTTTTTATTGGGCATGCCATTGCTAACGTCCTATGTCCTATGTATACATTCCCGTTTCTCTTACAGTTGAGACAGCCAACATGTGTATTCTTACATTCAGTGTAGGTATGGTCGTCGCCTGCACAATCTGAGCAGTACTTTTTTTCTTTTTCCGGACAGTCTCTCGTTGTGTGTTCTTCATATTTGTAGCAGGAGAAGCAAGTTTGCAGACTGATGAATGTCTCCTTCTTTATTTGATGTGGTGTGACTGACATGTTGAATATTAGAAAGCCCTGTTGTAAAACTTTCTCAGCCATTGACACTTCTTCAAAAGTAATCTTAAAAACATGAGTATAGTCCTTTATCTTAATGACTTCTTCAATCTTCATCCACCTATTTTGGCGTTCCAGTTCTTCTTTCAGGTCTTCCGATGTCTTCCTCCCGATCTCTTGATCGACTTGACGAACAAAAACTGATCTTTTTGCTTTTTGTTCTGGTGGCATGACAACAATAAGGCCTTCATTGTAAAATATATCTCTTGCTTCTTTTGAAAGGATTTTATCTGAATCAAAGTCATCTTTACAGATTACTTTAAAACCTTCATTGGTGCTGAATATTCTAGTTAGTGGGACTTGCAGTTTGTTGTAAGTGATTTCTGCCACTTTTCCCCTTCCAATAGAGTGTCCCTTATCTCTATGTTTTATTCTAATGCTAATTTTAACTGCATTTTCTGGTGGCTTTTTAAAGTTTGTCACGTGTTCACTTCTCGCCCAGAGCGTCTTGTGTCTTATATGTTACAGTAAGTGTTAATACAAAACTAACGTTTTATTTGTACTTGATCTACAGTACATTAATTGATTATTACTGCAAATTAGTTATATTCACCATATTTCATGTCTAAGTGGTTGCTTGTTACTATGTTTAGTGTACTTAATTTATAAGAAAAAATCTTTTCCTTGCATGTATCTTGCAACTTTGAATTGTTTTTATGGAGAAAATAAGTTTGTTTTATGATGACATGGTTCTTCATGGTGTTATTATGCCACTGTCAAGGGCATTATCAATAACCACCACATGAATAGCATAGTGTTGTAATATTGTCTAAATTTAGTTAATATCTTTTTTTTGAGAAGCCGGTGAAGGTAGGAGACACAGGAATGTACTTCGTCCATGAGTATCTGCAAAAGATAAGATATATATATATATATATATATATATATATATATATATATATATATATATATATATATATATATATATATATATATATATATATATATATATATATATATATATATATATATATATATAACAAAGAAGTATGTCTTTGTGTGTTTTTTGTTTGTGTGTTTGTGTGTATGTGTGTCCGCACGAGAATCTCGGAAACTACTTTACCGATCTGTAGTGAAGGTGGATGGTGTTATATGTAGTGATGATGATGGATGGTGTTATATGTAGTGATGATGGATGATGTTATATGTAGTGATGATGGATGTTGTTATATGTAGTGATGATGGGTGGTGTTATATGTAATGATGATAGATGGTGTTATATGTTGTGATGAGGGATGGTGTTATACATAGTGCTAATGGATGATGTTATATGTAGTGATGATGGGTGGTGTTATATTTAGTGATGATGGATGGTGTTATATGTAGTGATGATGGATGGTGTTATATGTAGTGATGATGGACGATGTTATATGTAGTGATGATAGGTGTTGTTATATGTAGTGATGATGGATGGTGTTATATGTCGTGATGATGGATGGTGTTATATGTAGTGACGATGGATAATGTTATATGTAGTGATGATGGATGGTGTTATATGTAGTGATGATGGGTGGTGTTATATGTAGTGATGATGGATGGTGTTATATGTAGTGATTATGGATGATGTTATATGTAGTGATGATGGATGATGTTATATATAGTGATGATTAGACAATAAAATAATAATAGTTTAATGCTAAAAAATATACTTTGCTGCACCGTTGTAGTGAAAAACATGGTGGAACTTACATACACCGTTAATGAACTATTGATGGAAGAAGTTTTGGGGACTGAACAGTGAGACAATGTGGAGCCTCCCGGAGGGTGGCGTCCTACCGTGGCCTAGCGGATGAGCAGCCCGGAGCGAACAGCGGACAGTCAGTCACGGGAAACAGATCAGGAAAGGGAATCACGTCTTAATGCTAACAGAAGCCGAACAGCGGACAGTCGGTCACAGGAAACAGATCAGGAAAGGGAATCACGTCTTAATGCTAACAGAAGCCGAACAGCGGACAGTCGGTCACAGGAAACAGATCAGGAAAGGGAATCCCGTCTTAATGCTAACAGAAAGCGAACAGCGGGCAGTCGGTCACAGGAAACAGATTAGGAAAGGGAATCCCGTCTTAATGCTAACAGAAAGCGAACTGTGGACAGTCGGGTACAGGAAACAGATCAGGAAAGGGAATCCCGTCTTAATGCCCAGAGAGAGGGAACAGCGGACAGTCGGTCACAAGAAACAGATCAGGAAAGGGAATCCCGTCTTAATGCTGACAGATAGCAAACAGCAGAAAGGCCTTCTCTAGAAAATGATCAAGCGCATGAAATTCGTTTGAATGCTAATAGACAGAGAGCTGCGGGATCCAGAATTCTAAGAAAGAATACACAGTGGCATCCACTTGCAAGAGCAGCATTTAACTATGACAATGAGATAGAATATGAAAAGTGTCCCTCTCTTGTCATTGGCAACATGGATAAGAAATGTGAACACTGCGGTGCAAAGAAGTATAAAGGAGAATCTGCTGGACTGTGCTGCTCTCATGGGAAAGTACGACTGCCAAATTTGGAAAAACCACCACAACCATTGAAGACTCTCATGCTGGGAACAACACCAGAGTCAAAACACTTCTTGGAAAATATACTGAAGTACAATTCATGCTTCCAGATGACATCCTTTGGAGCTACCAGAGTAGTTCGTGAGCACATTCAAAGTCCAGGGTCAAGTCTATCACAAAGCAGGATCCCTCTTACCACTGGAAGATGAGCAGGCAAAGTTCCTCCAAATCTACTTCATGGGAGATCATGAAAAGCAGACTACTATCAGGTGTGGCAATATTCAAGGTGTCAGACATGACATTGTCCTATCTATCCAAGAAATGCTGCATGAGCGCAACACGTATGTACAGTCATATAAAAATGCCCTGGAAAACATGCCTTCTGACAAGTACAAAGTCGGGATCAAAACAGATACGACCCCTACGGGAGAACATGAAAGAAGATTCAATGCTCCTGTAGTTGATGAAGTAGCCATCCTGATTGTCGGTCAAGAGTTTGAGAAACGAGACATCATACTCAAAATGAGAGACGAGTCACTCACAAGAAGACCATGATGCCACATGTACTGGAAGCTACAATACTGACAAGAAAAGCTAAAGGAGACGACTTTTTTATACCAAGTGTGCCTCTCATCACCACTGATCTGCCATTTGAGTTCAAGCGACTTCAGTTCTCGGTTAAAGTGAGCCTTGCCATGATCATCTACAAAAGCCAGGGACAGTCTCTAAATATGGTTGGCCTAAACCTGGTGTTTCCTTGCTTCTCTCATGGACAGTTCTATGTTGGATGCTCCATAGTGGGAACTGGCAAAAATCTGTACATACTTGCTGCTAATGGCAAAACCAAAAATGTGGTCTACCTTTATGCACTACAGTGAGACAATGTGGAGCCTCCCGGAAGGTGGCGTCCTACCGTGGCCTAGCGAAAGAGCCGCCCGGAGGGCAGCGATTCCGCTAGTTGTTATATAAAACTAAATAGCAATGTAATAGTGATATCATAATGTCAGTCTCTTGCAGCCTCTTGTCAGGTTCAACACACTCAGGCTGTGTCACGCTCCCTCCCTCCCTCCCTCCTCTGGTCACTTACGCAATAAAACTGGACTGGTTTTATAATTGTCTCAAACAACGATATAACAAATTACTACAGTACGATCGATTTGCTCAGAACTTCAGTTTAGTATCGTCTCAAACCGACCATACGAATAGATTTGGTTTTCTTTTGTAATGCACAATACCGAATGTCTATTTTCATTTGATTTTCAATTATTTCCGTGTATACTTTATATATTTTTTACAGTATTTAGAATTTTATTGATTATAATTAAAATAATTATAAGCGGATATAATTTTCTCTTACCTCGAAATTTTGTTTAGCGATTTGAAAAGATTCACACATGAATCTGGTAAACTTTGTTTTTTCATGAGTGGCATCACTGACAACGACCCGCAGGTCCAGTAAGGGTAGGGTTGACTTTACACCATCCTTGACTGTATCTAGAATTTTTGTTCGGGACTGTACATATGGGAAGAGTGAGCCGATCCACAGCTTTACAACTTTGACCCCAACCCAGGTGGAAGTGTAGGATATAATTTAAACTCTACCGAAAAAAGAAAATTAGATGACTGCTGATAATATACCGCACTAAGATTATTCAACGACTTGGCAGACATTATCACAGACTAAAGAGGTGCTACACTCGCCGCAAAGAACTCTCCAACAGCTTGGCACGTCAGATTTCAGAATGAGCAATATTGCTCGTGTCATCTCAGAAGAGTTGTTTTGCTTGATTACGAAGTGACTCTCAGTATTTCGTAATAATATTGCTCGTCATTATAGTATTTACAGGTGAAAAGAAGTAATTTAATTTACAATAAATCTTCCTCAGAAAGCAGTGTTCAGTTTCTCGCTCGGTTTGTCATATTAGAGCGTTTGAAAACTTGATGTGGCAAGTGTACTCAAACACTGATACTTCTCTCAACAAAAGAATAGAGTTGAAGTTTAAAAGTCTAGTTAAGATCCATCAACCTGATAAATGAGGTATTTGAAAACTGCTAAATAAATATAGAAGGATTGTTCCATGAGTTTCGTATCAGGGGTCTCTTAACTTATTTAAAACCTTTTTAAGGAAAAATTTTGGAGGGGTGTGGCCAGTCAGGCGAGGGTGCAAGAGAAGATGTTTGGAAGATAAATTACTGTAAACTTAAAACTGTTTGATTCATTTACACGTCAGTAAATTACAGTTTAATAAACCAAGGGAATTGAGATCCTTAGTAGACAACGCAACGGCTCTCACCTTGTTCAATTTTGGTGATATTAACTGGAACAATGAAAACTAACCGAAAAACATTAATAACTCGACAACTTTTGGTATGAGGACTAAGTGACAATTTACTACTCGAACGCATTACAGATCTGATTCACATCACATGAACACAAACATCAACACCACTGAATCTCCTTATAACGAACTAGGGGTATGGTGGTCAAATTGAAATGTTTGGTACTAGTCATCACGTGACACTATCCTTCAGATTCAATTATTACTTTGTCCATGACAACAGTAAGACATGGTTCAAATATTAAAATGGTGATTTTAATATTATGAGGGAGGGAGCAGGGAGCTTTGATTGGCCTAATTTGTTAAATAATAATGATGCGGATTCTTTATGGAAAATTAAAGTGGGTAAAGTTAAATACTTGATGGAAAATTTATATACCTGTAGCCAATATCAAGCCGATTAGCTCAAGATTAATCTCGAACCTGTTGGACATGAACTAAATGACACTCGTCAAAGTTAAAGAGAAATCTTAAACTAAGGTCACACTAGAATTTTCCGTGTAATAAATCCACGATAGCATTTTATCCACCGGCAATAAGTCAAGGGTACGATCCGCACACTGGTCACACTGGCGAAAGGAACCAGGGGCCAGGCGCCCAGCTCGTACGGCTAGTTTGAACTCAGTTGGAGAGCTGGATGGCTTCATTGTGTGTTTCTATGACAGTATTAACCGCTTTAGTGAGATTTGTGGTCCTGTTAAAGAAGACTCAGACGGAAAAGTAACGATTATAGCGTCCAAGCGATGTTTGTTACAAAAGTAACGCAAGTACTCTAGAATCAAATGAAATTTCCGTCGTGATATATTATTATAATTATTATTATTTTATTATTTACTGTGAAATTTTTGCTTGTCTTGTTATTGAAATACACTCTTTTATATTTTAATTTTATTTTAATATTAATAAGAAAAAATAAGAACGGTGTAAATTTTATGAATACAATAGACTCTATAAAAAAGTTCAACCTGCAGTACCGTGGATTTTCAGACCTCTCCGTATCGTCCCACTTTCGACA